TTCTTTACTTAATACAAAATATATTGTGGTTCGAAGTAGAAGTTATCCACTACATGCTGAATGACAGCCACCTTTTAAGCATCTGCGTAGATGTTCTTCCTTACCTGCAGAGGTCTGGCTTAAGAAATTGGAAGGGGCAAACTCAATATCATTTTTCTTTATTACTACTTGGAAATATTTTTATATTTTATGCATTTATTGGTTCGGATTTTTCACATTTTATATAACAGTTCTTAATCAAATTTAGACTTCCCTCCCCCATCCAGGACTCCACCCCCAGACTTCATGCATTCTGCCATACATGTTAGGTCCTAGTCAATAAAGCATTTGTACCCAGATGTCCTTTGGTACAAATTCATCCACTGGAGTCTAGTCAGCCTATCTAAAGATCTTAAGTAAGGTATACTCTCCCTTACCCAGTAGTAATGTCTCCAACAGTTCCCAGCCTAGGGCCTGTGTCTGAAGTATGTCCTGTTTTCAGCAGTAGGGTCTTATCTTTGAGACCCTACTATCTGGGAGACAACCAAGAGCTCTGACAATGTCCTGTGTTATTTTGGGAGTCTCTTGTACTACTCTGACCAACCCCTGGAATGGATGTTTCTCCTGCCTGGCACTGCCATATGCTCTAATATTCGGACATTATATGTGCATTTCTCAAGGATTTCTGGGGGCAGCACATTTCCTTCTTATTTCTCTAGTCTCCAAAGATCCATTCATTTCTACTCTCTCTCCCTCCCATCCAACCTTCCACCACACTCCAAGTGCCCCGATACCCCCCCTCTACAGATCCCCTGAGTTTCCTCTTCCCCCCACCACCAGGTTTAATTATATTATTTGAGACCTAGTAATTTTTTCAAGCTCCCAGATAGTATCATGAGAAGCCAGTAATTTTAATCCCCTGGTTTGACTTGTACTTTAATTAAGCTTAAGGAACATATTTAAATATCTGAAAATGAAGGTCATTAAGGTATAAATACTTAGAAGTTGTTGAAGCAGAAAACAATTGAAATTCTAGAACAGTTTTGCCTATGAATTATCACTAGGTAAAACTGTATTTTCTTATATATTTGAAATTATCATTATGAATGTGTAAAGTTGTATAATAGCAATTGTGAAATTAGTTCAGTTTTGCTAACTCAAATATCTAAGCTCATTTAGTGAAAACAGCACAAGGAGAGAATGAGGATGGTGAGGAAGCTTTGTGTTCTCTGATTTCCCTGGCCTTGCTTATAGGTAAGGTCTTTCCTGTGTCTTGTCCCTGGCTATAGGCAGGGTCTTTCCTGTGTCTTATTTAACTACTCTGCAGGATCTGCTAGCTCTACCTGCCTTTGTAGGACAGTATTTTTTAAAGAATTACTGAATGTATAAACGACAGAAATAAACCAATCACTGAATAAGGATTGAGTAGTTTGGATGTTATCTTTTTAATACTGAGGCTATATTGAGGTGGTAATACAATACAAGGTATCTTAGAAACTTAAAATTAGGATTTAAAATTCCAGACAGTTGATCTACTTCTGGAAAACCATGACCTTTCTCTTCACTCACTGAATTTGGTCCAGCTATGTCCATTCCTACCGTTTGATCCTTTGCTTAAGCCCATTTCCTGTTTCTCTCTGTTCAGCACATTCCATTTAACCAAGAGTATCAACTAAAAGTAAGGCAAACATTGCCAACCTCAGAATGAGAATATTCTCTTTTTAAATAATTTTAAGAATAAAATTTTCTTTAAAAAGTATTTTGAGGGACTGGAGAGATGACTGAGGAGTGATAAACACTGGCTGCTCTTGCAGAGGACCTAGATTCAGTTCCCAGCACCCACATGGTAGCTAACCACCTTCCATACCTCCAGTTCCAGGGGATCTGATGCCATCTTTTGACCTCTGTGGCCACTGAATGACACAGGTGCACTTACATACATGCAGGCAATACACTTATATGCAAAACAAAAATTAAAAAAATTTTAAATGTATTTTGAGAAAATGAACATTACTATCAGATGAACATTGTGTAAGTAGCATTTAATTATATATAAGCAATGTTAAAATCACATTTTCAAATATAGATTATATTTTCTTACATTTAATTTTTATTTTTTATAATTTTATATATGCACTCAATTAAATTTGATCATATCTACCTCTTATACTTCCATCTACCTCACCCCACATGCCTCCCAACATATTTCCTTCAAATTTCATATTTTTAAAAACAGCAGCTTACTAAACCCAGTTAGTTCTGCCTACATGTGTACAGGATTGGTGCCATACACTAGTGCATGAGAAACCTATCGGTGGCTAGACCCACAAAAGAGAATGAACTAACTCTCCCAGTAACTATTCATTGTCAATATCTCTGTAGTGTGGTGTAGAACCTGGAGATTATCTACTCCATGTATGCTGGGGTTTTGACTTTCTTGATTTTGTGCAGGCTTACACATGTTAAGCATAATTGCTATGGATTCATGAGTGTGAAAGATATATTAAACCTGCAACTGTGAACATACATTTCAGTGGCTTTGTTAAAATATTTATCAATTTCCTTATTAATAGAAATACGCTTGAGCTTTTGGAACCTAGGTCTTTAAATATATGTGCAGGGAAAAATATTTTAAGTAGATTTCATACACACAAATGCACACACAAACACGCACCAGGGATTTTGAGTTTGTAAATGATCAGCCACTGAGCACTCTCTTAAAATTCACTGTTAGAAGAATATTGTATTCTAGACCTGGAGAGATGGCTCAGGGGTCAAGAGCACTGGCTGCTTTGGAAAAGACCTGGATTTGACTCCTAGAACCCACATGATAGCTAACAACCATCCATATTCCAGTTCCAGGGGATCTGATGCCATCTCTTCTGAACTCTTAGGGCATTGCATGACACGGGTGCACCTACCTACACTCACACACATAAAATAAAATAAAAAGGTAAAAAAGGAAATATTATATTCACAAGTTTCAAGAAAAACATTTATAAAAATGTATTCTTAAAATTAAGGTAGATTTTCCAGAAAAATGCATTCAGCAGAAAGGAGTATTTCCTCACCTGAGTGAATAAATGAGTGGTAACTGTTTATCCTTTTACCATTTAAGTACTAGTTGATATTTTCTTTAATAGAAACCATTGTCAGAAATCACTTCTTTATACTACTCAGGTATTCAATCATATAAATAAGTAAGTTAAACAAAAACAGTGTGAATGACCATTGGATCATACAGGCAATGCATTAACAACTTTATTCATTGGTAACAAATTATACCAATAAAATTTTATTTATTTATTTATATTTAAATGTATGAATGTTTTGCCTGCATGTATGTAATTACGCCCATGCATGCAATATCCATGGAGGCCAGAAGAGACCCTTGGATCCCTTGGAATTGGAGTTACTGATGGTTGTCAGCCTCCATCTGGGTGCTGGAAACTGAACCTGGGTTCTCTCCAAGAGCATCCAGTGCTCTTAACCACTAAACCATCTCTCCAGTACCAATAAAATGTTCTTAAGACACTCAGTACATCAATATAGATATTAGAAAATGTGTATGTTTTTCTTTATTGCATTCACTATATAAAATATATTATATAGTGAATATATATTCACTATATAATATGTAATATATATAGTCTACACAGAAGGAAAATATTTTAGTTTTGTTTTATTCAGAAGGTGAATATTTTGCATTGAAAAAATGGATTAAGTTGGAAGAACTGAGTCAGAGAGGTACATAGACAGGAGAATATACCCCAGGGTCCATAGAATTCAAATAGCAGGAGTGCTAGGCATCAGAGCGCTAAGCTAGGAAAATTGCATCTCTTTATGTAAAGCTTAGATCAAAGCTAGTCAGGATGGCACAAACATAGATCCTAGCATTTAAAAGGCAAAAAAAGAGGAATGAGTTTGAGGTCAGCCTGGGATACAGTGGTAAGTCCAGTCTTAAAAACACAATCACAATTTACGATAATCTTTGAGTCTCACTTGAAGTTTTAATAAGATGGCCAGACAATGCCAAAGAAAACCCAACAACAACAACAACAACAACAACAACAACAACAAAACAAATGTACAAACACAAATAAGAAAATAATGATAAAACAGAGAGAAAACTAAAACAGTCAAATTAACCAAAAAACATTATTTTAAACTTTTCATCTTATTGAGAACAGTCCTGACACACTTTCAGCATTATTAAATCAGACTATTATACAAAGGTACATTATGGATTGGCCTAGAACAGCAATCTGACCCAATGCAAGGCAATTATGTTTACTATACCCGAGTCACCCCCGTAAGATAAACTGGTGTCACCAACTCATGTAATGCAGTTTTTTCTTTCTCAGGCTTAGATATTTATTTTACCCTCAAATAACATTATATAACTCATATATTTCCATGAAATAGACTCCTATATATCCAAAGCAACTTTACATGAAAAATATTAAAGACATAAGAAATTGATATTTTCTGGAAACCAAGGCAAAACAGGAAAAATGTTATGCATGGACTCTATACATAAGGATATAACAGAAAGTTTGTTATATAGTATTTTTAGCATGCATTATTTGGATAATTAACGTTTTGTCTGTTGAAGGAATTCATTTGTGTACCCTTGTTCTTGAGCCTAGGATCATCAGAAATGCCTGACTTCCAGAGCTAGCCTTTCACCTGCCCATGGAAAAACAACACAGAAATGACAGATACATTATTAAAGAATTTAGAAATAAGCATTCAATTATGCTTATTTCCACTGATTTCCATAATATTCTGATTTGTTTTTGAAGACCTAGGTTTCCTGCTATCTTCCTACAACAACATACAAAATCACTGATAATTTATTTAGTAGTTTTACTCATATTTTGAACTAAATTGATTACTATCGAATTTTTAAGTTAAATGCTAGATGATTTGTGGCCAAATCTGGGCAGACTGATTCATTTTGTTTGAGTCTCATCATACATCTTGGATTCCGTACCCCTTGCTTCTACTTTGGTCTTGAATCATTTTGTTCTGCAATAGAGTCCTAGGACTCGCATCCTTATCTCTTTGGTCTTAATTCCATAAACAATGGGATTCATGGTTGGTGGCACCAATAAATAGAGATTTGCCAGCAGGATAAGGGTATGCCTGGGCACATGGCGACCAAAGCGGTGGGTAAAGAAGGAAAAGAAGGCAAGTGTATAGAATACCAAGATGATGCATATGTGAGCCCCACAAGTACCAAAGGCCTTTGTTCTGGCCTCCCTGGATGGCAGTTGGAAGACTGTTTTCAGGATTAGCCAGTAGGACAGGGAGATGAGGACAAAGTCCAGGCCTGTGGTGAGGAGAGCCGCAGTAAGGCCATAAATACTATTAAGGGTAATGCTATTGCAGGCCAGCTTGGCAATGCCCATGTTCTCACAGTATGTGTGGTGGATGATGTTGCTCCAGCAGAAGTCCAGCCGGAGAATGAGGAGTACGCCCGGGGTGACAACAGCCACACTCCGAGCCACCAAAGCCAGCCCAACCTTGCCAATGAATGGGCCTGTAAGTAGGGTTGCATAGTGCAGTGGTGTACAGATGGCCACGTACCGATCAAAAGCCATGGCCAGTAAAACAGCAGATTCGGAGAGGAATAGAGCATGGACAAAAAACATCTGTGTAAGGCAGGCAGGGAATGTGGATGTGGCCGGGCCCTGCCAGAAGATGAGCAGCATTTGGGGCACGGTGACAGTACACAGGGAGACATCGTTGAGTGCCAACATGGCCAGGAAGAGATACATGGGTTCATGGAGGCTCTGGTCGCAGGCCACCACTACCGTGACCAGCCCGTTGCCCAAGACAGCCAAGAGGTACATGAAGCCGAAAGGGATAGAGATCCAAACCTGGACGTCTTCTAATCCTGGCACACCAGTTAGCAGAAAAAACCTGAGCTGAGTATGGGTAGCGTTGAGAGCTGTACAAGACAGGTAGAAAAGTTCATTACATGAAAAAAATATCTAGAGTAAATAACTGTTGAAATTTTTGACACTGGTAAAGTTCCAATGGTTAGCTTTGATATGAGGGAATGGCAGCAGTGAAGACCATGAATCAAATCATTTAGGCATGTAAAAAAGATGGAAAGATTCGGGCAATTCTCTTTCCTAGAACATTTTTCTTTGAAAATGAGTTGATTTCCTCATTTTATATGGTTAACATGTTTTTCTTTAAAACTATTTTATAAAATTTTACTCTCTGTTTATACATGTTTTTTAAAAAAATTATGCACATCTATTAAACCTAGAGAAACATTTTGAAATATATATATATATATATATATGGTATTATGGTATTTAATATCTCATCATAGTGAATGATGTAACCATCAACTCAAACACTGATTAAAATCTTGTACTTTTGACTAATATAATTAATTGTTGAACAATTATAGTTGCCTTGTTGTGTTATAGAGCATTAGAATTATTCCTTCCACCCAACTGTACCCTTGTACCCCATCACCATACATCACCTACCTCCCACCTTTTTATGATCCAGGAACCATGATCCAGTAACCACTATCCTACACTCTATTTCTTTAATATAAGCTTTGTTGCCTCTGTGGAGATGTGGAATTTGTCTAACAGAACTTGAATTATTTAAATTTTCTTTTTTAAAACTACATATTGGTTACCAACAAAAGGTATACTTTTTCTTCCTTTCCTCTACTTCAGTAAATATTAGAGACTACTTGATTTCAATTCTTTTAATATTTTTGACATTCTCTCCCTCTTGCACGTGCGTGTGCATGTGCATGTGTGCGTGTGTGTGTGTGCAAGCCGTGCTAGGAGTGTGGAAGTCTGAAGATATCAAGACCCCATGTGGATAATGGTACTTGACTGCACATCTTCAGACGTGGTGGTAAGCACTTGTATCTGCTGAAGCATCTCATGGGCCCCAAGATCCCAAATCCCATTGGAAGGTTGTGAAATTTTCACTCCTGGTCTAATTTTCTATTACCAAAAGAAAAATTTGGTGCACTGGTCTCTCATCAAAATCATTGAAGACAGCAATTGAGCTTTAAACATGAGCTTTAAAGTGAAGCACTAAAGTTAGAATACTGTTCATATTCAAATTTTCTCTGCCTCACAAGGATCATGACAAAGAATCAGATGGAAATCCAGAATATAGTATACTTTCAATCAAAACAAGAAAATCATAGAGAAATGCCAAAAGTTCATCGTTATGCACTGCCTAAATGCTGGCAGAACTTTCCACACATCAGAGTGATTTTTATTTTCAAACCCATCAAGAGAATGTCATAAACTTACCAACATTGTTATAGAAGTGGTTTTTGGTTTTAAAACACAAAATGCTTTGAAATAAAAATAGATGTATACATAAAAATTACCCAGTTAAAAAAACATCAATTTTCCTGTTTTATAATAGGTTAATTCAATTGGCCAACAAGTTGGCAGTGTAAATTGACAATTTTAGCAAGCCCAAGCATATGTTTATCAAGAGGTTCTAACTGAGATGCTTAGGAAGGTGTAGTTATTGATAATAAGTGCTTTTCATTTGAAAAAAGTATAAGTTTTGTAATATGCATAGCCTCTACTGTCCATGTTGAAACTGTCACACCAAGTAAATGGGACACTACTATTTTAAGACACTAATCAACTCTGCACATTAACTGAAAACCTCATTTTCCAGTTAATACCAACCCTTAGCAAGGAAGTGGGACACATTACATCAACACATGTTCTGTAATTTATCTGACTCTCTCTCTCTCTCTCTCACTCTCTCTCTCTCACCTCTCTCTCTTTCCAATGAGAGAGTACAAATTTTCTTATACAAAGACAGCCACATAGCATAGATGAATGGCTTTTAATTAAAATTAGAGTGGCTGCTCTTAAAAATATACAGGTAATTCCACAATTTCATTACATGCTTGAAACTGAAAATTTGCTGTAACTGCCCTTTTTTTTAAAAAAAAAAACACATTGAAAAATAATCACATTTTAAAATATAAAACAAATAACATATTAGTCTGAGAATTGAAGGACCATAGAAATATCCAATGATAATAATTATAAATAATATCATAAACATCAAGAAAAAATCTTTTACTGTATTTATCCAGTTGTGCGTCCAAACTGCTCTACAGGGTAGCCATTATTCCAATTTCATATAGACATAAACTCAGGTACTGAAGGACTAATCCTCCCATATGTAAAACCTGTTTTCCATTCTAGACATTTGAAAAGTAGCTACAGAATGCATAAGTTTCAAGCACGTATTTTAATCTACCTTTTAGATGCATGGCTTTTCTAAGTCATTAGGAACATGTGAAAGTTGTTGCTGAAGTTGCTCTTAGTGCTTCTTAATGAGATATCAGTAAGAATTATGTGTTCTTTGCTTGTGGGAACATGGAGGAAAGGTGTATATATACTTCCCTGTGTTACATACTGATATTGTTAATATCAACCCGGGGAATAAGTTCTGTTGAAAGGGCTCTTGAGAATTCTTTGTGCTGAGTGACCATTTTCATAGCTAATACTCTATAGTTAGAATCTGATTGTCTGAATCAATCATGTCACATGTATGAAATATTTCCTTATTTTAAACTGCATCCCATTATTTTCCATCCCAGAATATATCTTTAAGTAATATATCTGCACTCTGTTGTAAGTTCAAATTTGAAAGCTTATAGAATGCTGAAAAACAGGAAGATTTCCTAGTCCATGTCTCCTCTGAAGCATGAACTCCTCTTGGACAAATCCAAATGCTTGAGGGCACTCAAATTTATTGCAATAAATTAGCAGGTGTCCTTTAGTGTGTTATTCTGAGGAATGTTCATTGAGAAAAATGCACAACTCCCACTTTTCAATATAGATTTAAAAAAAAGGTATTTTACTTTATTGATCAGTTGTAGGTTTTTAGAGAAGCTGAAAAAAAAACATTGAAGGTAAAAGAGTTTGCACAAAGGAACGTTAAAGGGAACTTTGTCAGCTTAAATTCTGTCCTGTAACTGTCTGCATGTGTTCATGTTTTTTACCAAAATGGGCTCATTCCAGTCATGAGCTATGCTTATACTTAAATACTTTAAACTGTCATTCATCCTATTATGCCACATGTACTAACCAACCTGGTATGTAAAGCTATATTTATGATTAAGAAAGAAAATAATGAGAACGTTTTCATTTCATGGAGAAAAGCATCTTTCCTGGGTTTTGTAAATTTAAATTAATACATCCAAATTCTTGTGAAGAGAGCATTACCCTAATACCAAAACCAGATCAAGATCCAACAACAAAAAAGAAAATTATAGGCCAGGACTTTGAAGAGCATAGATGCAAACATGCTCAATAAAGTACTTGCAAACCAAACTCAAGACCACATCCAGAACATTTTCCACCATTATCAAATAGGCTTCATCCCAGAGATGCTAGGATGTCTCAACATACATAAAACAATAAGTGTAATCTACCCCATAAATAAAATCAAGAATAGTAAACTTCATTAGATGCACAAAAGGCCTTTGAGAAAACACCCAACATCCATTAATGACAAAATCATGGAGAATCTAAAGATGCTGGGGGACATAGCTCAACATAAGAAAAATGGTGCAAACATGTTGTTGCAAACAACATGCCCATAGCCAACATCACACTACATGGAGAAAACCTCAATGCATTCCAACTAAAATTATGAAAAGGCAAGGATGTCCACTTTCTCCGTTCCTGTTCAATATAGTTCTTAAGTCTTAGGTAGAGCAGTAAGACAAGTTAAAGACAAGAGAAAAGGAAGGAGTGACTATATCCTTATTTGCAGATTATAAAATTCTATACACAATAGTATAAACGCATATACAAATTTAGAACATGCGGTACTTAGAGACTCCACTAGAAAACTGCTAGAGTTGACAAACGCATTGAGTAAAGCAGTAAGATGAAAAATTCATGTACAATTCATGTCTTTCTGTAAACCACCAAAAAACATAGTTAAAAGAAATCAGGAAAGAAAACATTTATAATAATCTCATATATATGTATATATATGAATAGATCTAATCAAGTAACTGAAAATTCTGTATAGTTAAAACATCAAGCATTGAAGAAAGAAATTGATAATAATACCCAAATATGGACTGGTAGATTCAATATGGTGAAAAAGGCCATCCTACCAAAAGCAGTCTACATATTCAACAAAATCCCCATCAAAATTCCTACATAGAAAATGCTTTTAATATTAAAAAAATTATATGGAAACATGAAAACCCCAGATAACCAAAACAATCCCAAACAATATAAATATCCTTGAAGAGTCACCATCCAGATTTTAAGCTACACTGCAGAGGTAGGGTACAAAATCAGCATGGCACTGGCATATAAACAGATACAGTCATCAATGGAATAGAGTTGAAGGCCCATGTAAACGTCTGTGCTCCTACAGTGACCTGATTTTTGACAAAGAGGCTCAAACACACATTTCAACGGTCTTTAAGCCTTGGGTGGCAGGCGTTTGATATAGGCGCCCTATTCAGGAGTAAGACCTCTGCAGTCTCTTATTCTCTGCACGAGGAAGAGCTTCTGGGAGAAGAAGAGTAGGTTTTCTTTAAGGGTGTGATGCCGGTTAGGACAACTGGTCTCAGTGGATGGACTCTTTGTGGACATAAATTTTACACGATAGGCCTTAACATATATAATGAAGTGTGTGAAATCCGGTGGGAGGTGTTAAGGGGAGGTGCAGGTAAGTAAGGGTTCTAAATATGATTAAAATACATTGTATGAAATTCACAAAAGTTCAATAAAAATTAAAATGAAATACACAATGCAGAAAATACAGCTGAGAGTTAAACTAGTTATCTTTATGGATGAAAATGAAATTAGATCTTTACCTGTCATCCTGCACACAACTTAATTCCAAATAGATCAAGGATATTAACATAAGACCCAAATCCTGAATCTGTTAGGGGAGAAAGTAGGGTAAACACATAAACATATAGACCCATGAAAAGAGTTTCTGAGTAGATTCTTAGCAGCACAGGCAATAAGACCAAAAACCAATAAATGGAACTTTACAAAATGAAAAATCACTCTGTACACCTGTTGTTGGTGGACCTTTATCTGGTTTGGGTATCAGGGTAATGCTCTCTTCATAAGAAGAATTTGAATATTTTAATTTCAACTTACAGAATCCAGTAAAGATGCTTTTCTCAATGAGATGAAAAAAGTTCTCATTATTTTCTTTCCTAATTATAAACATATCCATAAATACCATGTTGGTTAGTATATGTGGTCCAATTGTATGAAAGACAGTTTAAAGTATTTATAAGCATAACTCATAACTTGAAATGGACCCATGTTGCTAAAAAGCATGACCCCATGAAGAGAGTAACAGGACAGAATTTAAGCTGACACACTTCCCATGGTTTTCAACCTTCACAATTTTTCTAAAAATCTACAACTAATCAATAAATAAAACAGTATTTTATTGTTTTAATTAAAAATTATTTTTGTGTTCTGCCCCATTATCAAGTGAAATACAGATTTCAGGAGAAGGGTGTCCATTCAACTTTGCCCCTCCACACCTGCCGACCAACCTGCCCCTGCAGGTGCCCCACCCTGAGAGCCTCCTGCTCCCAAAGGTCTCTACAGTGTGTGTATTCTTCTTTGGGAGGAGAGTGGAGAGGGGCTCAGAGCCACTCCATAACTGTGAAATAAATGGGTTTGGACTCGTAAAAAAAATCTATCTATCAATCTATCATCTATCTATCTATCTATCTATCTATCTATCTATCTATCTATCATCTATCTATCTATCTTATAATTATTTTATATCTATTTCCACATATATAATAACCTTTGTTTACAGATCTGAGATTCACTGTTATAAATATTACATTGGGCACTTTTGATATAAATGACACTGATGCTACATTTGGTGACTGATTTTCATCCGACTTGCAGATGAGTGGTGGAAGCCATGCAGTGTGCCAGAGGTGGAGGGAGGGCAAAGGCTAAAAAATAAGCCAGGGAAGGGCAGTGAGGGAAGCACAGACGTCAAGGATGCATATGGACTCAGGACAAAGTTACATCTTAAGTTTTTCGGACCTGATCAAGTTTCTTAATCTTAATGAACTTCAATCTGATTTGAAAGTGATACATAAAATCTCATAAAATTATTTTAGGGGCTAAATTAAAAATGGTACAATGGAAGTGACAAGCAAAATGTATAGAAATTATGTGGACTGTGATAGCAATAACTTACATAATTATGCAATTATTAATAACTCACCTTTACCAAGCTACCTCAGAACATCATTAGTCACCTTAAAATCCACTGCAAAAGATTACTTTTAAAATCTACAATGAAATATGGGAGTTGTGCAATTTTTCTCAGTATACCCTCCTCAAAGTAACACACTAAGGGACAACTGCTAATTTATTGAAGCAAATTTAAGTACTCTCAAGAGTTTGACTTTGTGAAACAGGAGTTTATGCTTCAGAGAAAACATGGACGAGGAAACCTTTGTGTTTTTGTAGCATTCTGTAAGGCCTCAAAACTGAAATTACAACAACGTGAAGACATATTCCTTAAAGATTTGTTCTGGGATAGAAAATAACTAGATGCGGTTTAAAATAAGGAAAAATTTCACACCTGAGAGGCATGATTGATTCAGACAATCATATTCTAACTCTAGAGTCTTAGCTGTGAAAATGGTCACTCAGCACAAAGAATTCTCAAAGACCTCTCAACAGAGTTTATTCTCTAGGTTGATGTTAACAATATCAGTTTTTAACATAGGGAAGTGCATATACACCTTTCCTCCATGTTCTCACAAGCAGAACATGGCTCTCTCACCCAATTCTTATGGATGTCTCAGCAAGAAGTACTAAGAGCAGCTTCAGCAATGACCTTCATATATTCCTAATGACTTAGAGAAATCATTCATCTAAAAGGTTGCATCAGAATATTTCTGTGTTTAAAACTATGGATACTTTTCAAAATCTAAATTTGAAAGGAGGTTTTACATATTATTTGATGCTGTTGGGAACATTAGTTCTTCAGTACGTGAGTTTATGCCTGTATGAAATTGGAAAAATGGCTAGAGTAGTTGGGACACACAACTGGTAAATATGCTAAAAGTTTTTTTTAATGTTTATGATATTGTTCCTAATTATTATCGTCAGATATTTCTATTGTGTTTCAATTCCTGGACTAATATGTGATAATTTTTCTATTGAAAAATTGTATTTTTTTCATTGTGATTTTTGTAAAAGAAAGGCAATCACAGCAAATTTTCAGTCTCAAGCATGTAGTGAAATTGTGGAATTATCTCTCTCTCTCTCTCTCTCTCACAGGGATCTGCCTGTCTCTGCCTCCTGAGTGCTGGGATTAAAGGCATGCGCCACCATGCCTGGCTTACCTCCATATTTTTAAGAGTAGGCATTCTAAATTTAAAAGACATTTATCTATGCTATGTTGCTGTCTTTGTATCAGAAAATTTGTACTTTCTCCCTCGTTGGAAAGAGAGAGGAAAGAGATAGAAAGATAGAGAGGTAGAGAGATAGGTAGAGAGAGAGAGACAGAGAGAGAGAGAGAGAGAGAGAATGGGATAAATACAGAACATGTGTTGATATGATGTTGTATCACACTTCCTTGCTAAGAGTCAGTATTAACTGGAAAAGGAAGGTTTCAGTGTAGGGTTGATTAGTATCTAGAGTAGTAGTTTTCCATTTACTTGGTGACAGCTTCAACATGGACAGTGGAGGTTATGCATATTGTGGTACTTTTTTTCTTTTCTTTTTTCAAATGAGAAGCACTTATTATTAATAACAAAAACTTCCTAAGAGTTTCAATTTGAGCATGTTGATAAATATATGTTTTGGCTTTGCTAAAATTGTCAGTTTACATTACCAACTTGACCAGTTGAATTAAGCTTTTATAGGACAGGAAAATTAATATTTTTGCATCTGATATTATATATATATATATGTATATATACATATATAATGTATGTCTTTACTTCAAAGTATTGTAAAGTATTCTATAAACAAAAGCCAGTTCTATAAAAGTGCTTGTAATTTCATGACATTTTCTAGATAGGACTTAAAATAGAAATAACTGCTGTGTGGAAAGCTCTGCAAGTATTTAGGCATTGCATAACAGTGAGCTTTGATATTTCTCTATTATTTTCTTGTTATGAAAGAAAACATTCTATAATCTGGATATTTTTTCATTTGGTTCTTTGTCATGATACTTGTGAGGCAGTGAAACTTTGAATATGAACAATATTCTCACTTTTGTGCTGTACTTTGAAGTTCATGTTTAAAGCTCAATCATTGTCTTCAAGGATTTTGATGAGAGACAAATGAACCAAATATTTCTTTTGGTAATAGAAAATTAGGCCAGGAGTGTGAATTTCACAACCTTCCAATTAAGTGGGATCTTGGGGCCTGTGAGATGATTCAGCATATACAGGTGCTTACCACCAAATCTGAGGATATGCGGTCAATTCCCATTATCTACATGGGGTCTTGAAAGATGTCTTCAGACTTCTACATTCTATCATCACTTGCACATTTCCCACACAGATACAGATGAGAGAGAGAGAGAGAGAGAGAGAGAGAGAGAGAGAGAGAGAATGTCAATTTTTTTTTGGAGGAATTGATATCTTCACCCTTTTACCACTTGTGTTTCAGGTGATTATTCAAATTTTTTTTTCATTTTTTTTCAAGAAAAAAAAGGAATATTCTCTCCACTCTTCAGTAAAGTGGAGGAAATGAAGAAAAATATCATTTTTCTTGGTAACGAATATGTAGTTTTAGAAAAGAAGATGTAAATAAACAAGTTCTGTCAGACAAAATCCACATATTCCAACAGAGGCAGCAAAATTGTTGTTAAAGAAACAGAGTATAGGATGGATAGTGGTTACTACATCCTGAAAGGTGAGGGGTAGTTGATGTTTGGTAATGGGTATGGGGTACAATTGAATAGAAGGAATAATTCCAATGGTCTATAAAACAAGGTAACTCTGATTGATTGATAATTAATTGTACTGGTCAAATGACAGAATTTGAACAAATGTTGAGTTAATGATCATATCATTTACCTGGTGTGATATTACACACCTTATACATGTATCAGATGCTACATTGGGTAAAAAGACATGCATAATATTTTAAAAATAAATCTAGACAGAGAGCAAGATGCAAAAACAATAAACAAGTTATTTGTTTTTCTCATCCACCATTTTCAAAGAAAAATGTTCTATGAATGAGACTTGCCAGAAAATCATTCCATCATTCACTAACATACCTGAATGGGATGATTCATGGTCTTCACTGCTGCCATTCCCTCATACCAAAGCTAACCATTGGAACTCTACCAGTGTCAAAATTTTCAACAATTATTCACTCTAGATATTTTGTTTGTCATGTAATGAACTTTTCTACCTGTGCTGAACAGCTCTCAACACCACTAGTACTCAGCACACATTTTCCCTGCTAATAATTTAATCCAAAAAATGAGTAAACTACTAAATAAACTATTAATACATCCATATATTATTGCTGTAACAGAGGAAGTAGGAAGATAACAGGAAACCTAAGTCTTCAAAGAGCATATCAGCATATTATGGAAATCAGTGGAGTGGAAATCAGCATAATTGAACGCATTATTTCAATATTCTTTTATAATGTACATGCCACTTCTGTGTTGTCCTTCCATGGACAGATTAAATACTAGCTCTGTGAAGTCAGGCATTGCCAATAATCCTAGGCTCATGAACCAGTGTACACAAATGAATTCATTCACCAGACAAAAACTTAATTAGCCAAATAATAAATACTAAGGAACTTATATAATAAACTTGTTACATTCCTTATGTATAGAGCCTATGCTCTTTTTTCATTTTCTTTCAAAAGATTTTACCTTAGTTTCCAGAAAATATCAATTTCTTATGTCTTTAACATTTTCATGTAATAAATTTGCTTTGGTTGTATATTCTAGAATTGTGCTTTGGTTAGATTGAGTAAATTAAAAAGGAGCCTATTTCATGGAAACATCTGAGTTATATAATGCCATTTAAGGGTAAAATGCATGTCTAAGCCTCAAAAAAAATGAAAGTCAGACTGCTCTAAGTCACCAACTACCAGAGAGCATTACCAAAGTTGGTGAGATCAGTTTAATCTCAGGGCATTACTTGGGTACAGTAAACATAATTGCCTTGCTTTGGGTCAGACTGCTGTCCTAGTTACCTTTGTACAATATTCTTGTTCTATACATTGAGAGCATGTCGTGGCTGTTCTCAACAAGATGAAAAAAACATAGAATAATGTTTACTGGGTTCATTTGGCTGTTTAATTTTTTCTCTTTACTTTATCATTATTTTATTTTTGTGTTTATGGGTTTGTGTTTTGTTTTGGTTTGGGGGGGTGAATTGTTTGGTCACCTTCTTAAAACTTCAAGTGTGAACCCCTACAGATTAATCTAAATTGTGTTTGTGTTTTTAAAGACAGGGTTTCCCTCATTATCCCAGGAGGACCTCAAACACACTCCTCCTCGTTAGCCTTCTGACTGCTATGATCTATGTGTGTACCACTATGACTGGCTTTGATTTAATTTGCATATAAACAGAGGCAATTTTCCTAATTTAGCACTCTGTTACCCAGCAGTCTTGCTATTTGAATTCTATAGACCCTGGGGCATATTCTCCTAGCTATACACATATCTGAGTTGATTCTGGCAATTTAGTCCCTTTTTTTTTCATCTTTTAACTAAAACAAAACTCAAATATTTTCCTGCATTTTAAACATAAAAATGTATATTTTGAATGCAATAAAAAGACATTCACATTATCTACTAGTTGTATTGATGTATTGAATGTCTTATGAATATTTTATTGGTACTGGAGAGATGGTTTAGTGGTTAAAAACACCAAATGCTCTTAGAGAGGACCTGGGTCAGTTCTTAGCAACCACACGGAGGCTGACAACCATCAGTAAATCCAATTACTAGGGATTCATTGCTGTTTTCTTGCCCTCATGGGTAGTGTATGCATGACTGCAGTTGCATACATGCAGACAAACCACGCATGCATTTAATAGTAAATAAAATAAATAAGTAAATAAATAAGATTTTGTTGGTATAGTTTGGTTACAAATGAATAAAGTTGTTAATTCATTGTGTGTACAATCCAATGGTCACTCACACTGCTTTTGTTTAACTTATTTAATTATAATATTGAATAGCTGAGTGGGATAAGGAAGTGATTTCTGACAATGGTCTCTATTAAAGAAAATATCAACTAATACTTACATTGTAAAAGGATAAAGAATTACCACTCATTTATTCAGTCAGGTGAAGAAGTGCTCCTCTGTGCTGAATGCATTTTTCTGGAAAATCTACCTTATAATTTTAAGAATATATGATTTATAAAGGTTTTTCTTGAAATTTGTAAATATAACATTTTCTTTTTTAATTTTTGTGTGTATGCATGTAAAGCCGGCATGTAGCTAGGTGCACCCCTGTAGTGCAGTGCCCACAGAGGAAAAACACTTTACCAGCTATTCATCTGAAAGAGGGCTCTTGCTTGAAATACGCAAATAACTTAAGAAAGTTAACCCACACAAAAGTACATTTAGTAATGCAAATTAGACTCTATAGGCCTACACACACACACACACACATACATATATATTTATATATACTAGAGTACATTAAATTGTGTAGGGGGCAATAAGAAGAAGTGGAGGTAGGGGAATGTATTTAAATAAATTATACTGTATAAAATCTAAATAAATTATATTGTATAAAACCATAAAATTTCAATAAAAATAAAAATTTAAATAAATCGCACCCAAAATGTAAACAACCCAATTAAAATGTTGTATGGAGGGCTGGGGGTGGTGGCACATGCCTTTAGTCCCAGCACACAGGAAGCGGAGGCATGCGGATCTCTGTGAGTTCAAGGCCATCCTGGCCTACATAGTGAGTTCCAGGACAGCTGGGGCTACAGGTAGGAGACCCTGTCTCAAAGAGACCAAAAAAAATGTTGTATGGAAGTAAACATAAAGTTCTTAAAAGAAGAAATGCGACTGACAGAATTTTTAAAAATATTTACAATCCTTAGCCATTAGGGAAGGACATATCAGAGCTACTCTGAGATTTCATCTTACCCAAGTCAGGATGACTAAGATAAGTTGACAACAAATGTTAGCATGGATGTGGGCATAAGGGAATACTTATTCATTGTCCCTGGGAATGCAAAATGGTATAATCAGTATCAAGATCGGTGTGCAAGTTCCTCAAATAGCTAGAGAAAGATCTGCCATGCTATTCCTCTGTACCACTGTTGAGTATATCCTCAAAGGACTGCATATCCTAGCACAGAGATGCTTATTCAAGTGTATTGTTGCTCTAGTAACAATAACAAGGAAATGAAAACAGCCTAGATGTCCATCAACTAAAGCATAACAATGTGATACATATACATGCTGGAACATTATTCAACTCTTAAGAAAAGTGAAACCATGATATTTATGGGTAAATAGATGGAGCTGAAGTTATCATTCTGAATGAGGTAACCCAGACCCAGAAAGACAAAAGTCACATTTTCTCTGTCATATGTGTCTTTAGATATATGTGTCTTATTTTGAGTACCCATAGAAGTCAGGAAATCAGTAAGGGACTATCATAGGGTGGTGTAAAGAGGGAATGGGAAATAAGTGTTAAATGAATTGGGGAATGGATAGGCAGGGAAGAGGAGAGAGTGTGGGGATCGATAACTAGCACTGAAGACTTTGCAAAAAGCCAAACGGAAATCTACTGTAGAAGATTTCTTGGTCAATGGGGTCCCATAGACCTCCAAACATTAGAGGCTATTGCCATTGCTCTTGGTTATCCTCCAGAACATGATGATAAGTTCCTCTTGCTGACGGCACCAAACACGTGAGTCATAGAACATGGAGAAACCAAGATTTTAGTGAACTAGGAACTTCATCCCCATTGGCTTGCTTTAAGGGTCTGTGTTCATTACTGGGGTTCACACTAATCATCAGTCTTAACCAACTATGAATCCTATAAGTACACTGGTGTGGAAAAATGTACACACTTGTGAGATTAGGGTATAAATGTTTTCAGAGCAATTACAAATTTTCTGATGGATTTAAGGCCCTGACTAAAAGAAGGATCTCATGCATAACACTGTTAACTGGGGCAATAATTTGTGGCTAGGTAGGTCATGGGTCCTAGAGGAGAATCTACTGCTATTGCTATTATTCTGCTAAATGGGCACAGGATTAAACTAATTCCTAAAGATTTATCATCATACACATAGAAAAGTGCATATCTCAGTCCTCATTGGAGAAGCTTCTTTGGGCAGTAGATGGCAATGGACACAGAGGTGCACTTGTCAACACACAGAGAATAAGAGACTGCAGAGTGCTCAGACCTAAATGGGACACCCACATACATGTCCTCCTCCCAAGACTCAGAAGTTGTAGTGGAAGAGGAGGAACGATAGCAAGGGCAGAGGTAGTGTATGACTATAGGGAAAGACTGTTTTTGGATACTACAGGGCAGTTACATTTATGAACTGACAGCAGCTGTGATTATATGAACAAGTCTTGTAAAAGACCAAGTCAGACAAAATTCCATCATGGAGTGGTGAGACAGTCAGGAAGTCTCGCCCTAGCTATGGAGCTAGTGATGAATACTGGTTGTTCTTGCAGAAGACCTGGGTTCGAATTCTAGCACCCACATGGCAGCTAATAACTGTAACTCCAGTTCCAGGGAATTTGACAGCTTCTATTGTCCTCTGAAGGCATTGCATGTCATCGGTGCACTTACGTACGTGTAGGCAATACAAGCATACACATAAAATAAAAATAATAAATAGAATATTTTTTTAAAATTAACAAAATAAATTCTCATTGAAATTCACCTTTGTATGGGATACATCATGGGACTGGTAATTGAGGTTTTTGCGTGGTGAGAGGTAGGGTTCTAGTTTCATTCTTCCACATACAGCTATCCAGTTTGACTAGCACCATTTGTTGAACATGCTGTCTTTTCTCCAGTGTGTATTTTTGTCACATTTTTCAAAATCCAGGTGACTGTAAATGCATGTACACACTTAAATCTGGTCCTCAATTTTATTCTATCGATCAATGTTTTGGTCTTTATGCCAGTACCATGCTGTTTTTGATATTACAACTTTGCAGTATAATTTGAGATCAGGGATAGTAATGCCTCTACCCTTTTGTTTTTCATTGTGCATGATTATTTAAGCTCTTCTGTTTTATTTTTTAATATTCTGTGTGAAGTTTGAGTTTGTTTACCAAATTCTGTGAAGAATTGCATTAGCATTTTAATGGGAATTTCACTGAGTTTGTAGATTACATTTGGTAGGATGACCATTTTCACAATTTTAGTCCTTCCAATCCATGACCATGGGAAATCTTTCCATCTATGGTTCTTCCTCCTGATTTTCCATTTAGAATGATGTGCTCTTGTTTTATATCATTTTAATTATGCTGAGATATGTTCTCTTCATTCTTAGACTCTCCAGGACTTTTATCATGAATGAATGTTGGATCTTGTCAAAAGCCTTTTCTACATCTAAATGTCTGGAGCTTTATTAATTTGGGATCTCTCTCTCTCTCTCTCTTGCTCTCATTCTCTCATTTGGTAAATTTGGTTACAGGTTTGTCAATCTTGTTATACTTTTCAAAGAACCAACTCATTGTTTCATTGATTTTTTGCATTTTATTCTTAATTTCTATTTCATTAATTTGTCTCAATTTTATTTATTGTGTCCCATCTGTTCTTTTTAATTATTTTTACTTTCCTTTCCAAAGTCTTCAGATGTAGCATTACTGAATTTATATGAGATACTTCTAATTTCCTGTAATACTATACATTTTTCTGTTTTACTGTGTTGGAATAAAACAGGCAAGCAGCCTCTCATTTTTCATTATCATAATTTAGAACTTTTACTTCATGTGTAAAATGTTGTTGACAGAATCCTTAACATTTAACTTTCATAGTGCTGGAAGATTTCATGTTTGCTATCAGGGGTGAATCGAAATCAATCGTCATATCTACCTCTGGACCCTGAGAACTACACTAACAACTAAGATAACAAGATAATCCCACTAATACAGCAGTGACATGAATGTTGGAGAGGTAACCAATTGCCTTCTGATTGTATTTAAGGTCTACTCCACAAGACATAAGCAATAAGGTGTGCCATTAATTTGGGCCAAAGCTCATGGTTGAGTAGGTCATAAATCCTAGGTAAAGACATAATCCTATTATTTCATTAAATAGACTAAGTAATAAAGAGCCCCTTAAGTTCTTATCTTTTACACAAAGTTGAGTGCATTTCTCAGTTCTTACTGTAAAAGTTTCTTTTCATGATAGATGGTGTTTAATACAGAGACATGCAAATAATTAAGGTATGGATGATAAGAGACTCTGAGCAAAGGTGCTTAGATCTAAATGTGACATGTGTATCACAACCTGCTCCACCAAGGCTCAGTATTTTCTCAGAAGATAGGAGACAGGATGATAAGAGCCAGAAGTAGCAGGCATCTACAGTGAAACATTATGTGTCAGACATGGCAGGAGTGTTGTACACATGAACTCCTCACAGCAGCTGAAATGCATGAGCTCCATGAGGTCAAGTCAGACAAAATATGATGGATAGTGAGGGGCTAATGGAGTCCCATACCTAGTTTAAGTGCTTTTGGCACTTCATGGCTGATGGGGAAGGCCCTGATAGGCTACCCTTATTACAGTAGATTGTCCTCAACCGAAGCAGAGAATTTTAGTACTAAGTGGACACAGGTGGATCTAAAAAAGCACATGAATTTGGGAGAGAAAAGGGGTGGGGAGATGGGGAGGAACTGGAAGTGAATTAAATCAAAATACATTATATCCACGAATGAAATTCTTTGAAAAAATATGAGGACAAACCAAAGTCCCAAAGGAAACTCAGATAGAGCATCTTGAGAGAATGTTCAACATAACCTACACTGTGTCTTGGATAATGATTATTTCATTTCTAACCTACAAGCTCTGGGGAGTGTATATGGTTAATGTGACTAAACAAGTGTCCCAGTTATTTTCTCTGTGATCTTAAATCTCATAAGAGACCATCATCACCATCTTCCAAATCTGAGGTGCCTCCTGAGTATTGGACTAGAGCAGTACAAAGGAGTCAAAGCTACTGACTTACAGAGTGCGTGCTGCACGATGCAACAGGTATTTCATAATACCATCTTCATTGAATCATGGATCATAAGACAGTAGACTGTATATAAATTCTAATGAGAAAGAAAAACCTCACGTATATGATTGGCATTATGTACTTGAGTGAAATTTATTAGGTATTTGAATAATCTGATTTGCATGAGAGGAAATAATTATATTTGTATGTCTCATTGTTCATGGCAAGAGCCTGATACTTTCTGTTACAGAATGATTTCTTATGATGTAACTCCTGTTAGAAATTATCTGGAAAGAAGCTATTTCAAAGAACACAACTGAAGCAAGTGAAATGTGGACAATAATGGTGCGTGATTGACTATCTAGGGATGGGCACAGGATATGGGTAAAAGATGAAAATTTATTAAATGTTTTCAGAATATAGAACATGCACAGAGCTTATGATATGCCCTAAGACTTTATTTTTATTTATTGGATACCTCTACACTACTTTTCATGTTCAAAGACTGATACATAAAACTGATGAGATAGGAAAAAGAAAAAAATATGACAGAAATAAAATTAACAACTGCTGATAAAGCATTGGAGTTGAATGAATCTAGGTTACAAGTACCATCAGATTTCTGATGTTTTGGATATGATAGGTGGTGTTGCAATAAAATGTGATGTACAGTGCGGGGTAAGGATATAAGACGTACTGAACTCAATAGGGAGCATCTTTTTGTATGTTAACAAAATAGTACATTTGTGCAGTGTTAATGGACTCTAAATAGGCAGCATAGAAAACACAGGGTCTCTCCGTTGAGTTTTGTGTTCTAAAATGAATGATTCCAGAAAATGGTCTTTGATCAATGAATCAGAAAGAAATACAATATTAAAACTCATGGTCTCAGATTCCAGTACCTTTGGATTTAAGAATGGTGAATAATATTCCCAACATAAAACTGTAGGTGAGAAGAGTTTTTCCTACTCCCTATTTAAGATGATTTTAAGATTGAACTTATTACAGAAAATGCTAATTTCCAGATTCCACTCAGAAGAGCCTCAGAGTTAAATGACTAAAAGGGAATGTGGTGACATAAACAGATCAAATTTTTCAGTGTTGTCAGTAAATATGTGCTTCTACAGCCTTGGAAAATCTGAACTCTGATTAAAGCTATGCTTTTTCATGTACAAATTTCATTCGTGTACATGAGTCTGGAACTTAGCTTAACAACTCTCCTAAAGGAAAAGACATTTGAGGACGGATGTATATCAAATGCTTCATAGAAGCCTAAATAATTTTGTACTCTGACAGGTCAACATTTGTATTTTTGTCTTCTTATCTCCATCTTTATAACTTTCATCAGTATATGATAATTTCAAGAAGCCTACAATTCTGGATCCTGATGAAAAGTTATGATATGATGCTTTTTCTAATCTTCTATGAATCCCTGATAACCTTTCAATACCTTACTAGAAATATTTCACAAACTCGTTAACATTGGCCCAAAGCAGCAAGTGCTTTGAACAAAACACAGATTCCATGTTTACCAAAGTGAATATTATTGGGACAAACATATAAGGAGTAATTACAAGTTGGAAATTTTGAACAAAATTATGTTCTAAAGAGTATTAATATTTCAAAAATTTTGGGGATAGTGGGAAACTAGATTTCAGGGAGAAAAATAGAAGACATGTATAAAAACTGAAGAATAAATCATAATAGTCATAAGAAGCTAGTTTTCCTACTAAGTACTAAACTCTGAATTGTTGAGTATTATTTAATCCTTACTGTCATTATAAGTGTGCCATATATATAATCTATGCAATTCAACTTAACAACGAATGTGGTTACATATAACAATTTCAAATATATTGAATGCACACAAATGATTAAAACCACCACCATTTCTTCATTTTAAATCCTTCTATCAACTTCTTCATAACTAGTTATTTTTAAAGGTCATTCTTGTCAAGTAAATTCTATAGGAGACCATAATGATTTTAGACAAATTATCCCTGACTGAACTAATTGTAGATTGTGAGAGTCAGAAATGCTAAACTTCCAAGTCAAAAAAAAAAATGAAATTAAAGCTAAGTTGACCACTGACCGCGCAATGAATATTTTGGCAGAAATATCAATAAACTTTCCCAAAGAAGAGATTTCAATTGATGTGATGTAGATGTTCTCTATGTAATAGCACATTAATCATTACTTGTCCTAATGATGTGTCTCCTTGTTCCCACCTCCCCAGGAAAGCAACTTTGAAATGACTGATATGCTTTTGATTCATCTGTTTGTGTTTCTTCAGGCTTTCTGTGTCTTAAAATTAACCACCTCTACACATGGTTACTTTATTTTAGAGAATGAATGGTCACCCCATGAGAAAATGATGTTAGGAAGATTATTATATTTGTATAAATTTTCTCTTGAAAATATTAAATGGATATAAAATTAATATCTAGCAATGATAAAGAATTTAATGACAATAATTTGACATTCTTGATTTTTATTAGATCCAATTTGAATATTCAACATTTTAGTTAGGATAACTAAAGGAAATAGCAATCTCTAAAATGATACATTGAAATTTCTGCTAATTGTTGAAGTATTTGTATGCAGCTTATACGCATGTCTCTGTAATCTATTCAACTCATGAAATCACTTTCTTTGGCAAAAGAAATGATTATTTAATTAATTTCAACTTTAGTCGAGAAACTGAAAACATGCACCAGGTTTGAACTGAATTTTGGATTCAGAGAATCACTAATTAATATATGTAATAAATATAATCTTTTCTTTTGCAGGTTATGTTGCTGACACTCCAAAGAATGAAAAGTTTGAGTTTTTCTAGAGTTCTGGAGAAGTAGATTCTAGATTACTCCCAAGAATCTTGAAACCAACATTTTGGAACCCTTTTTCTGCTTTTAGGAGATTATCCTGGTCACTACATACTAAACTTGCAGTATCTCCAGTAGTAACATGGTAGATAATGGGACACGTAACTACATTTCATCTTTCTATCTGGTTGATATTCCAGGGTTAGAAAAATTTCATAGCTGGATTGGCATCCCTGTCTGCCTCCTGCTTGTCCTGACCCTGCTGGGGAACTGTGTAATCATGGCTACTGTCAAGCTGGAGCCAAGCCTCCACCAGCCTATGTATTTCTTCCTCTGCATGCTGGCAGTGAATGACATGTGTCTTACCTGTTCTGCTGCCCTGAAGATGCTCGGCATCTTTTGGTTTCATGAACAGTGGACTGAGTTTGATGTCTGCCTAACACAGATGTATTTTATCCACATGCTTTGCGTTACAGAGTCAGCCATCCTAGTGGCCATGGCATTTGATCGCTATGTGGCTATTTGCACCCCACTGCATTATGCAACCATCCTGACCACATCCATGGTGACTAAACTCGGTCTAGTTGGCCTGAGCCGAGCTGTGCTCATGGTTTTTCCGGGTCCTCTTCTCATTAAGAGGCTGCCGTACTATACAAAATATGTCATCCCTCACACCTACTGTGAGCACATGGCTGTGGTGAAGGTGGCCAGTGCCAGCACACACGTTAACAGAGCGTATGGGATCTCAGTTGCCCTGTCAGTGACAATAATGGATCTGTGGCTCATTGCCATGTCCTATGTAAAAATCATCCAGGTAGTGTTCCAGCTGTCTTCCAAGAATGCCCACTCTAAAGTTCTGGGTACCTGTGCTGCCCATGTCTGCGTTATTCTTGTCTTGTACACACCTGCACTATTCAGCTTCCTAACTCAACGCATTGGCAAGAACGTCCCTCCAAGTGTCCACATCATCCTGGCCACTGTGTACCTCCTAGTGCCCCCCGCGGTCAATCCCTTGGTGTATGGTGTCAAGACCAAGCAGGTTCGTGATCGAGTGTTGGGTCTCTTCTCCATAAACATGAAAAATGCTGAATATTAAATCTTTTAGATAAATTTTATGATAGAATAGTCTAGCTCAAGAAATAATGGAGCACTGATCTTTGTTGTGACATTGTCCTAAATTGTTAGTTCTTAATTATGTTATTTTGAAGAGATTTATTATGTGATACAATATTTATGTATTGATCTTAGATTTTTAATTTTATTTGAATCACATATAATTTACCATTCCATTCAGTATCTTCAAATCTCCAAATTCTGGTTGAAGTTATACATCTGAAACTCATAATCATATATCTTACCCTGAAGGTCTTTATGTCTAGAGAGAGAAATATGCAGTATAATGTCATAGATTTAAAGACTAATTTCTGGGAAAAATAAATGCAACAATGTCAGAATTTCAGGGGAAAATATGAAAAAATCTCATAAGTAATAATTTTGCCAGAGAATTATGGTTAGAGGGAAAATTGATACTTTAATATGTGGAGCACTAATAAAAGCGGTAAGTATGCATTTACCTGAAATGGAGCGCTTGAAGCAGATATGTTGCCCTCAATATGAATATCTAACGCAGTTCTTCTGAGATATGGAGATTAACAAATTAGAAAAAATGAATCTATGTGAAGGAAAAAACATCCATCAGAGAACAGTCAAGGTAAAATGCTGATTTATAAAGTCTCAAATTATTCAATACATGGTTAATTTACAAGGAACTAGTCGTACTCACATGATTGGTGCTAAAATATTGAGCATAGAGAGGAAGTCAGCAATGTAAAAGGACACACGTGGTGCAAATTGGGAACAATCCTCATAAATGGACCTCCAGTCCTTGAAACGGAGTACTGTTATTAGACAGTGTGCTTAGATTAGATTTAACAGCATGCTGAAAACTCTAGGTAACTGTGAATTACTGAAAAGTAACACCATAATACCATCATATAAAATGCTTAATTAAAACCTAACAAGAGGCAGAAAAATCATTCTTCTAAATGTATCAAGTAAAAATAAGTTTGGAAAAAAATTAGAGCATACTTACATAATCTGTATAAAAACTGTACTCATTTTGTTTGTGAAAACTCTGGCTCTTGTTTTTTCAATGTATATTTAAAATCATTTATAAAAATGGTGGTTGAATAGGAATTAACATGTATGACAGAATTCATGAGTTCTGGTGTGGGTTTGGGGGGCATGGATCTGGGAGGGAGGGTCAGAATTTGAGTAAGAACTATTGTATGAAATGGACAAAAGCTCAATAAATTTTTTTTTAAAAAGCAAAAACGCATAGTGAAAAATAAAATGAATAATACTTGTATCTCATTAATAAAGTTAACATATTTTGTCTATTCATAAAAGAACACATATTTATGAGCTTCAAATATTTTTTTCTTTTCCCAATTTAACCATTAATGTATTACAATATCAAAAGAGTCTCATGCAAATATAATGAATAGTTGATATTAAACAACAAATGTGATAGAAAGTAATGCATTGGAGTATTAAAATTATGAGTATCAACGCATAGGTTATATGTAGTCATGGGAGAAATTCAATTCAAATACAAAAAATGTAACTTATGTATAGAGGTATTTGTTTTCTTCTATATGTTAATATCTATTATCTTGCCTGAAGGATCTCATTAAGAACTAAAACACTGTACTGATTAAAAGTGTTAAGAATAGATATTTTTGTCATGTTTTAGAGGACATGTTTTCAGTTTTCTCCATTTACAACAAATAATGACTATTTTACCTTTTATATTCTTCATTTCTTCATTATGTTGAAGTATGATCTTCCTATTCCTAATTTCATCTAAACGTAAAAAAAGATTTTATTTTTATTGGTGTGTGTGTGTGTGTGTGTGTGTGTGTGTGTGTGTGTGTCCCAATTTTGTGCTGATGCCCATAGAGCCCAGAATAAGGTATTAGATCTCCTGGAGCTGGAGCTCAAGTGGTAGGGGTGATGCTCAATGTGGGAACAGTCAGTGTCTTTCCAGTCACTTGTCAGAGCTGTTATCAGGAAGGCATACAGAATTATATAACAAAAATTTTCTCCACTCCTCATCATCTTTAGGAAAAGGAACGTAACTGTATTACATATTTATGGTAAAGGAAATAAGATAAATAAGACAACTTTGCGTGTTTTCTTACGTATCCAGAAAGCAGATTCATCCTACTGCCTACATTTCATAAGGATGGGAGATGCCTATGCATGTTATTTGGCAGAAGTAATCAACTATCTCACCAAGTTTTGAACCTTGAGAACTACTTTAGTGACCCAACAAGATGTGCTCAGTGTGTGCAATAGTGGCAGAAATATTATGGGATTGGATTTAAAGCCCACTCTACAATATGGAACTCATACTGATTACTGTTACCTTGGCCCTATACCCATGACTGGTTAGGTCATAGGCCCTAAAGTAGAGCCTAACACTATTATTCTGTTAGAAGGACATAATAATCATTAGCCTCCCAAGTTTTATCTTTATGGCATAGATCAGTACATTTCTCAATACCCAACAGAGAAACTTCTATTTGCAATAGATGATGATTAATTCAGAGCCCCACAATTGTTCAATGTGCAGAGAATAAGGGACCTGTGGAATGCTCAGCTCTAACTCTGACAACTATACCACACTCCCTCCCCACGCTTAGGCATCATTTTGGAAGTAGGGGTAGAATAATATTAAGAGCCCAAGGCAGTCGATGTCGGCATTAGAACCATATTATTTACTGGACATGCAAGTGATGTTGCACACAAACTCACAGAATTCCTAGTACATCCAGAATACCCGCAGATCAAGCCAGTAAAACCCCCAGCGTGGATGGGAGAGAATTTGGTGAAATACCACCCTTATCTAAAGAGCTATTGTCACTTAATAACTGCTGGGGGATGGACAGTAAATTTCCTCATGGAGATGACCTCCAAAATTGTGCGTTATGACCCAGTATGTGAATTTATACAGATGTCCGTCCATAGAGACAACTCTAATAGGACTGAGCAGGAGGCTGGGATGAAAAATTTTAGGGGATTAGGGGAAGAGTTGGACCAGAGGATATTAGGCTGAGCTCATCAAAGTACATTATATGCATGTATAAAATTCTCAAATAAAAAGTAAAGCCAGGTGTGGTGGTGCATGCCTTTAATCCCAGCACTCGGGAGGCAGAGGCAGGCAGATCTCTGTGAGTTCAAGGCCAGCCTAGTCTACGTAGTGAGTTCCAAGACAGCTGGGGCTACAGGGAGACCTGGTCTCAAAAAGACCAAAAAAAAAGTTAATATAATAGCATCAGGCAAGAAGCAAACTTCCCATTTTTTTTATTGATTTATTTTTATCTTTATGAGTATTTTACTTGCATGTATTTAACTGTATCCATTCACATATGCTAGTGAAGCCAGATGAGGGCATTGGACACTCTTGAACTGGAGTTATGGATATTTGTTAGCGACAATACGGTTGCTGGAAACTGAACCCAGTTTTTTCACAAAATCAGCCAGTACTGTGAAGCACTGAGCTAACTCTCCTGTCCTGACTATTTTTTTCTTGTAATGAAAACTTGACTAAACCATGTGCCTAACTGAAACATCACAGAAAGACATGTATGATGTCTCTTGTGATATGTGATGCAGGATTGTCCATTGTAGGAAAGCAAATAAGCACAAAGTTAAATAGAAAAGTTATTACTTCAGAATTATTACTTAAGATAGATGATGCTGAAGAAATTGATCCACAGTTAAGACCACTTGCTTCTCCTGAAGAGCATCTGAGTTTGGCTTGGAGCACCTTTGTTTGGAGGCTCACAACTGCCTGTTGACTGTAGCTCTAGGACATCATCAACCCTCTGCTGCCCTCCACAAGCAGGCAGACACACACACACACACACACAGACACACACACACATACACACACAGACATGCCCAAACACACACAGACACACACAGACACACACAGACACAGACACACAGACACACACACAGACATACACACACAGACACGCCCAAACACACACAGACACACACAGACACACACAGACACACAGACACACACACACACAGACAGACACACACACAGACAGACAGACACACACACAGACACACACAGACACGACACACACAGACACACACAGACACACACACACACACAGACACGCACAGACACACACAGATACACACAAACACACAGAGACACACAGAGACACACACAGACACACACAGACACACACAGATACACACACACAGACACACATACACATACACACACATACACACAGACACACACACATACACACACAGACACACACAGAGACACACAGACACACACAGACATACACAGACACGCCCAAACACACAGAGACACACACAGACACACAGACACACACAAACACACAGAGACACACACAGACACACACAGATATACACACACAGAGACACACACAGACACACACACAGAGTGCTACATAGTGATAACCATTTTAAAAAAAGAAGAAAGGAAACAATTTCAGGATGAATTCTTTAAAACATAAAAGAACAGTCATTAACATGCATTTGTTCATATTCACCAGATGTTGAATTACTATCCTATGTGGACCATGTTATAGCAAACATTGTAATGAATGTCTGTGATTTCACTTACAACGTTTCTAAGAGTTAGACGATTTCCTGGTATATGAAGTACTTTTTCAATGCATGCACTAGGAACTGCTCAGCATTTGTCAATACATCATCACATTTAATTGAAGATTTGAAGACGGTTTCAAACAAGTGTTGTTTCTGTATTCTGCGGAGGGTGGGTAGATTCAAGTTAATTTAGCAAGTTTAAATATATTGCATGAGTATTGTACATTATGCTGAATATAATCGACATTATGTATATTTTTAAATGGGTGGAGAGATTTTGAAAATTTTCACCTCAAACAATTAATTAATGCTTGAAAAATAACCTACAATGAACTGATTATGTTTTACAGTAGTACACTAATATTTTAACAGATATCTAAAGTTGATAAACATTTAGTTTTCCTTAATATGTGAATTTTATTTTTTGTT